GTTCATCATTTGCATAGAGCAGATCTTAAGGTCCCAGATATTCTGTTTCACCGAGTTAAACATCTTATTTCCATCCTGTTGGTCCTTAATTCATCCGCCACCCTCCATATTTAGTAGTTTATATATTTGTTGTTTGTTTTCGTTACCGTGTAGGAAAAGGAGCCTCCCCATGGCCAATAACAACAGCTGTTTTTGCGTCCACATCTGCCATTTTCCTGGTAATCATCATAATCCTCAGTGTCCTCTTGATCAGGTGAGCGGTTCAACTTCACTGATAAAATGTAGATATGGATGTGTCAGCAGCCGAGGTTTCTTAAAAACTAAAAGTGTGTTGCCAACAACGCCACCAGGTAAAAGCGAAGAACCCTAGGAACCCGAAATAATTAAAAACAAGGTCTGTTTGTTTGGGGGAGAGCAGTGAAACAATGACCCAAGAGGAGACAGGGGCAGAAATACTAATAAAAGAATATTTATTTGAATACAATGATTAAAATATGTAAAGGAAGCTAAAATAGTCCGTCCAAACTCACCACCACAGTAGAGCGAAGTCCTGCGCATCCTTAGTCCACCGGTTCAGACGTCTCTGACTGCCAGCTTCCCTCTGCTGCTGCTGCTGCTGCTGCTTCTTGCATTCGCTCAACACTGCGGTGTGTTCCTGCTCCCTTCTGCCTTTCTCTTTTCTTGCCAGTGTCCCGTCTTCCTGTTTAATAAAAAGAAGAAGTTCCGCCTCTGGCCTTTCCCCATTGGTCCATTGGGCATATGCCACTAATTGGTAACATGTCACTGGGGACGATTGTTAATTGAGGATACAATGCAAACCAACACTCAAAGCAGACAATACATCGTTATATCGAACATGCAAACAATCATGAATCAATAAGTCATAAATCATGCAATCATAAACCATAAAATATGCAATCCATAAATACACAATCAATAAAACATGCATTGTCTCCAATCTCCACCCCGTGACAGATGTTACATTCAAGGAGTCGTTGAATCAGTTGATTCGATCTTCTGTTTGTTCATTAATACATTTTTCTGTCCAGAAGAAAAAAGTCTCTACCAAGCAGCCGGCCTGCAGAGAGACCAGAGAACAACGCTCAGGTGAGGAGGCCTCTGGGAACATCTGGGAACATCTGGGATCATCATGTCAGGCCTGTGAGGCGGGGATTTAAAAGCCAACAATTAAAATATAATACAAATTCATATAAATTAGGAAATAAAAGTTACCAGCAACACTGGGAGTTCAACTCCAGGTAAAAACCGGCCCACTGGGAGGTTTTGGCAGGTCCCTCTAGTTCAGCCCACTCCTACGTCCTGGTTCTTCTTCAAACCATCTAGACACCACCTGTCGCTCCCACACGATGACAGTTTGTAGATGGAACTTCATTAACCTCAATGACCTTAATCACAACCATTAAACACATGAGACCTCCATGAGAACCTGTAGGGCCCAAAGGAGTCATTAGAGAACAAGCCCTGCAGATATTCTACTATCTGGTCCTTTGTACTTCAGTCCAACAATACTATCCAATAAGTACTTCTTGTTCTTTGATGCAGATCCCACCAGCGGAGCCTTGCTATGCTACCGCGAGCTTCTCCAGAAACCAGGAGGATCTTCTTCTCTACTCCAACGTCAGTCCAGCTCGCCCCCCCAGACGCAAGGAGGAGGTGGAGGAAGTTCTGTACTCACGTGTCAACTTTGAGAGTTCTGGTGCTGCCAGCGAGTGAGTCAGTGACGATCTTTACTGAATATGGATCCGTCTCTATTTTTATCATCACTGTTTTATTGCTGTTTGAACGTGTTAATTATTAATATTCTGAGTTTACGGTTCTTTCACAGACGGAGATGTGAAGGAGCTGTGGATGATTCTTCTGCTCTGTACAGCACCGTCAGCAAAGCACCAAGAGAATGAACCCACACAGATATGTGGTCTGTTACTGTACAGAGTTTAAGCAGCTTAAACACACCTGCATGAATATGAGGTTTGACATGTTGTATATTCACCATCGTTAATCGCGGCTTGAATGTGCAGCCAATCACATACGACAGCAGATTGGGCTGAGCTGGAGTAGGAGCAGCAGGCAGAAGCCTCCTGTGAACCATTACTGATGGTCATATGGACGAGGGGACTTCTCTATTTCAGTTTTTTTTTAAGTAACGGTCTTAAATAAGATTTAGTTACAGATAATAGAATACAAGAGGTTCTACTAAGTGGGGCAGTTGTGGTTGTGCCAAACAAAATGGAAATTAAGATAACAGAAATAGAAAGAATTAGAACGAAACTAATTGGCTTCCCTTCTCTAAGAACGTCCATCAAAATACAGAGGGAGCACCAACCACTAACCTGGAGTCCCTACGTGATGCACACGTGTACAAGGTACAAACGTACCAACTGTCCTCAACCTCTCACCACAAACCTGCACTTCTTGTGCGTGCATGACAACTAAAGGAACACCTGCTCCAGATCTCCCTTTTAACAGCAGGGCCCTCAGGTGATTGGCGGCTCTCTTCAGGAACTCAGGTGCAGGCAGATCGGCACCTGAAGGGAAAAACAAGGGAGGAGGGGCAACACAGACAGTAGTGACACGGACGTTAGTGTAAGATTGTTATCCCCTCTCGTAAACATGTTGATTGTATTTTGTATTATTACGCAGAATGTGCTAATTGATTTGTGACTGAAGCTGTCACATTGAGGTATTACGTTGTTCATTCTGTCCTCATGACGTCATCGTAGTCCGTCCATCAGGAGACGGATCCTCCTCTCACGCTCTCACTGAGGTTTCTTCCCTCACGTTTTCCTGTGTAGATGTGATGTTTGGGGACGGAGGATGTCGCATGTAAAGCCCTCTGAGGCACATTTGTAATTTGTGATTTTGGGCTATTGCAAATAAAATGAATTGAATTCTCCTGTGGTTTTGGAGCAGATGTGTAACAGATGTGTTGTGGGAGAAGATTGAGATGATCAAGTAAACCTCAAAGTGGTGATTACCACTGGTAGTAAAGCTCAGTTACAAAGGAAGTGGCTTAACCTGAATTATAGTTATTTTAGCCAAATGTTTGGGCTTTGTTGTCTATAAAAAATAGCAAAGGTTTTAAAAATAAAAACACTTTTTTCTATGCCAGTTATTTTTTTTCCTCCTCTGATCCCATAGACGTCTATGAGGAAATGACTCTTTATTTATTCCCTCAGTAAACATTGCAAACATGAGTTTATGGTCTCAGTCTCTAGTCTTCAATACAACATGATGTTCATTTAATAAATTATGGTCCATTTAGAGCCAACTAAACACATATTTATTCTGTTTATACGCTCTGCATTGTGGTAGATTTCTCTAGTTCTTCCTTGTAGTTCTTCCGTGTCAGACCTCAGTGAACATTTGTTCATCTCAACTCGGGGGTTTACAGCCAGCTGCTCATGCATGGTAATTATCTAAAGGGGAAGCAGGACTTTTTCATCAGCTGATACAGACACACGTTGTCTTTCAGTCCCACGTCCCTCTCTTGGACAGCTGATAGTGGAGGACGTGTTTTAACAGAGAGGGATGAGCGGAGGAGCTGAGAGTGGATCAGTCATCTTCCTCCTGTCTGCATTCATATTCATCACATTTATATCTGTATCACAGAGCCTGAGTCGCCATGAAGGCTTTTATTAGAAACACGGTTGACCAAAATACTTAGAAAGTTTCACTTCCCCCTTTGTCTCTTTCTCTGCACCGTCACACCCCAACGCTCACCACAAACACCACCATTTTACTTTCTGCTAATTACTATTCAGTTTCCTTTTCTCTATAGAAAAAGATGTGCACCTGCACCCCTTCTGCTGTGATGAGTGTGATGGTGGTTTGTAGTTTCTCTTCCAGTCATTCGGGGTCAGGATGGCTGCAGAGTTACTTGCGGTTCCTCTTGGATCTTCTGGATTAAACGGATCCACCTTGGAGATGCACTACAGATACACCCCCCCCAGAACCAATGAGGGGTCACAGCAGACCAGAGGGCCTTCTGCTTTACCGACAGAAGCACGGACACCCGGTGGACCTGAGAACGGACCCGGGACACACAAGAGGACAGTTAGCTTAGCATACCGCTGCTCTCTGAGGAATCAGCGGCCTGAGAGGCGGCGACTCGGCTGTGTACAGGTGTGCTGTGTTCATGTTCACCACAAACCAACCGGACAGGAAGTACACCGGCGAACCGGGGGTCCGTCTGTCCGTCACAGGTAACGGATCCAAGCGCTCAACACTTGGGAAGCTGCTGGTGTCTCTGAAGGGATTCTTGGTTCATGGTTTTACAAATGCAGGTGGAGATAAGCAGATCAATACTTTTGTCACGAAGCGGGTGCAGGCAGAGGCAGGACTCAAACGCAGAGTTTTGGGAAACAACAAAAAGACTTTAATGGTCAAAATTCCAAAATCCAAAAATGCCAAGGGGCTAAAAAAACCACAGGCGGGGACCAGGAATGAAGCACCAAAGGATCCACAAACATGCAGACACCGAGGCGACAGGAGACGCACAGGGCTTAAATACACTGGGAAGGTGCAGGTGATTGGACACAGGTGGAAACAATCACAGGACAAGGTAGGAAGTGAAGTTACCCGGGGACACGAGGGGCAGAAAACTACAAAATAAAACAGGAAACAACCCAAACCGTGACGACCTTGTTGTGGAAAGTGTACATCAGCAGACCTGACGGGTCAGAGCAGTCGTCCTCGACCTCGTCCAACCTTCTACAGCTAGTACAACAACGGAGACAAAATGATGATGAAAGAAACAAAGATTTTGGGCTACTTTCATTCTTTTTCCAGGTCCTGCAACAAAGTGACATCATTCAGTGGACATTTCTGACTTCTAGATATATCACATCTAAGTTCTGGTGCATCCCTCTGAATGGTGGTCGTTGGAAGCGTCTCGCTCAACCAAAGGACCTTCGTGAAGACTCCCAGGACGAAGGTCGCGTTGAGGTCCTTGATACCGAGAGAGGAAACACTGAGAATCAAAGACCTGAGAGAGAACGATTCAGCCGAGTAGTGTTTCATATTCACAGCATGGAGCTCTGAAGGGACCAGCGGTTTACCTGGAACCACTTTGACCTTCAAAGGTACGAAGAATAAAATCTATCAAATGCTCTGACAACATGTACCTTACTCACTAAGATACAGTAATAGCTGCATGCATGGCTTCATACCATGAATGTTCTGTGTTGAAACACATCACTGCTGCTGGATCTCACCTTTCCTTACTGAATGGTTCACAGATCCAGATGTGCAGGCGCAGGTTGATCTGGTCTCCTGGGGGTCCGAAGCTGACTCACGTGTGTGTGTTGTCAGCTTTCAAGAGATGATGTAAGTCACTCTTGTTTATTATGCACAACATTGATTCATCTCATTTACAGAATTTGCAGCATAATGTCAAGAAAAGAGAGACTCCAAAAGCAGGAGGACAGGGAAAATATCCTGGTCTGTTTTTGAAATGTATTTATTTATATTATTATTATTTTTAATTTCCTGAATAACTTTGGCAATGGTGCCCTTTTGTTTTGGGTTGAGCAATAAGAGAAATGGCTCAAAGGAGTGAAAAGAATGCGCTATTTAAACAGACTAACAGCATTTTACAGGCCGACTTGTTATCATGGTGGAAAACAAAAAGTAGACGTAGTTGTCAAATTCCAAATGTTTTATTTTAATTTATATCTCAGTCCTATTGTACGATTTGTATGTAATTGAAGAAACAGTGTAATCCATTAAAAAGAGACGTGCTGCAATAAATAATGAGCTTTATAAGTGAATGTTCTACTTGTATCTCTTATTATGTTTAGTAACAGAATCATGAAATCAGACATTACAACTGATGATAATCTACTAAAATAAGTCCAATATTTCTGTCCCCATTGTTGTTGATTTTGTGTGAGGGAAGCTGCCAAAACCGTCATGAATAAAATGTCCATTTGTGTGTGTGTGTGTGTGTGTGAGATGCTGACGAGGAACCACAAAGCGGACCAGAAGATGGGCAGGATGCATTCTCTCTGGTTTATTCAGGTTCTTTAGGAAGAGTTCTGTTTGAAATTACAAAATGCACTGGTAGAAACAGATAGAGAAAGAAACAGAGCGAGAGAAGGAGATGGTGGGAGAGAGAGAGAGAGAAAGGAGGGTTTCATATCCAGAATAAACAGGAATAACATCACCAGATTCAGATTCAGGCAGCGCTTTACTCTCAAAGGGGGAGTTTTTCAGCGAGGAAAAACCTCCTCCTCCTCCCCCCTTTTTAAAATCATTTATTAAACTTTTTTAATGTTAGTTAAAGTGTTATCCACCTTCGCATCCCCCCCACTATGTTTAAGCCCCGTGAAATAACTGGCGATATAACAAACAAACATTCTTTGATTTCATCACCAAAGTCATTTCCATTTATTTATTCTTTTATCAGGGCGATTTTTTTTCTTTTTTTGTTTTTAAAAATAGAAGAAAAAAAGAAACACATTGCTCTTAAAAACATCTATCTATATATATTTTTACATATATATACTTTTTTCTTTATATTTATTTATTTTTTTGATTCCTGAAGTTGACTTGTTACCCCACATAGTGGCATGCACATTGCACATGCAAATCTGTAATTAAATACTTCTCTTTTATCTTAAATTGCCGTGTATGTTTATTCTTTTATGCCCCGACTTGCTGAGTGGATCCTGTATGGTTTTCTACTGTGGCACTGGTTCGGTTTCTACTGGGTCGGATGGTCGGCATGGCGATGAGATGGATGCTTGGTGGTTGCTTCGGAGAGTTTCCCAATACATCTCGTTACAGTCAAGATAAGATTACAGTTTATTGTTGTTGTACTTTTACACAATGGTGTTTAACCCTTCGCACCACTCGATGCTTGATTATATATTTACTCTTTAAACATGGTTCAAGAGGGAAACGTCTGATCTGCAGCCGTTTACAGGTTTTAATCTATGTAGTTTGACACCTCAATCGTGGCTTCTATCAAACGATACTTTACCAAATATGTTTTTCCGATAATGATTGAACGGTTAATTGTGTCCTTTGCAAACCCAAACCAATCAGGCACAAAGGCTGAATGAATAAAACAAGTCTGTTTCTCAAGGACCCAAAACACAACAAGCGCTCAGATGGTCTGAGAACTATCAAATAGTGAGAGGACGACCTCCCGCGTCCAGATCTCCTGGAAGCAACCTGTCTACTGGATGTGATGGGAATGGAAACACGTGGAGACAAGAGAGAGAGAGGGAGGGGGGGGTTGCTATGGCAGCCGGGGACACTTTTACCTGCGGCACTGAGAATTTCATTCACTGT